TAAGTAGGTGTGGAATCGTATTGAACTTTTGCCAGCGTATACCACCGTTCGAGTGTTAAAATCGCCCCCTTTTTAATCATCTGTTATAAGATACACGATTGCCAACTGACATCGGAGAAGCCAGTCAGATCCGTTACCTACATGTATATCTTCAACGAATACTTACCAAATCAGCTAAGCGGTTAACACGTCGCGTGCATTGTATAACCCCTTGTCGATATGAGGTGGTTTGCCTAATACCGATAATATTTGGCGTGTAATTGATTATTTTACGTGGATGATTAGTTCAGAAGGGTATAAATCATGTCAGTATTCGGAGTTACGGACCCCTATGGAGTTACCGTTAAGGTAATCTACTTGCGATCCGGTTTGAAAAGTGAGTGGGACGTTTTGACATTTGAATAATGAAAGTAATTCAAAACGATATCATGGACATCTCCGTTCGCAATTGTTAAACGAGATGTAAATTGTTAACGTCAAGAGCGAGCCGCAACGGCGTTTTAGTTGTATATTTATATAGCTAACTTCACGAGCGAGCTGCAACAGTTAGAGTAAATCATTTCATACATATACAATATTCAAATATAAAATAGATGTGGTATTTAAATACAACCCAATTACATTCCTGTTAATTTTGTTTAAACTCAATACAAGGACGAGAGGACCGACATAATCTTGTATATCTACCACCTGTTCCCTTATATGGCCTGTTGTTACATATGACTGTATCCCATTTTGTGATGCCATGCCATTTTATTGCGCTGTGATGGGAATTCAGTGTAATTATTATTTCATGATGCAATAAGTAAATGTCAATGTAAGTGCCCCTTACCCCCAACTCCTCCGGCTTTGCCCCCTTTCCTATTCGTTTTGATGTAACCAAGCGAAACAAAAAAAACCGAAGGGAGACAACTGTACGAAATGTGTCACAAGGGAGCAGATATGTAAAGGAATTATTCCTAGAAGGTGGATAGTGGCTATGTACAAAGAGAATATAATTGGACGGTACATGTACCATATAGGGACCTCATAATCTGTCATAGTTAGACAGTTTAGACCGCTCCTGATGTGTAGGGACCATTGTAATGGACGATTCAAAAGCTAGCTATATCTAGGGGTTAAGATTTACAATCGGTTAAAACCCCAACACTTACATAAACAAGTTTTTTTTCTCTCTGTATACTTACATCAACTACCATATCTATACTAACATCAACTACCCTGTCTATACTAACATCGACTACCCTGTCTATACTAACATCGACTAGGCCTACCCTATCTATACTAACATTAGTTGGTCCTTCATCATTTGGCTATTTAAACATTTTTTTTGGATTGGGTAGGTGGTAAGATATTTCAGATTAGACGTTTCTTTACTTGCCGTCGAATATAATACTCTCTACACTAAAAATAAGCAGATCTATGTTTGTTTAATACAGTACAGATACCTTAAGCTCTCAGACATGAAATGATGCGAGTCTGTTATGATTCCCTACGGCTGGTTAATGACGTTAATGACAAGTGAACAAGTGTCCGTTGTTCGACAATAGTAACATGGATGGCGGTAGTATCGTTAACAGGGACCCCTGTACAAGGATGACACGAACGTATCACCAGATCACTATTTCAATCTTGTACGTAATTTATTACAACTTCAAAGTAGGACTCGTCATAACTGAGTAAGTACGTCTTGAAAAAGAAGCATAAACGTCACACATGTTAGCTTAACGTACGTATAAATTATGTCAATGTAAGACTATAATAGTTATTAAATCAATATCAGGCTATACATGTATTGTATAAGAAAGTCAACATATGCGCGTGTATTATGGTGGAAAATATAAAACGAGAGTGAGGAAATGTAGGAAAAAAATATTATAAAATAATGATAATGATTATTTTTCCAACATTTTTGAATTTCGAGTTATATTTTCCAACATAATATACAATCATTAGTTGTACTTAGTAAATTGTAATGAAACTTTATTTCGAATCCACCTCAATGTCTATACGCCAATAATAAGCAAGGTGACCTAGATAATCGAATTATCTAAATTATGCGATACTTTTGCGCGTGCAAACATTCGTCACGCGATGCTGACATGTCTTCATTTCACAACTTTATCATTTCTGATCCTTTGGGTAGTTGTCCTATTTTGTCTATTTAACCTGTATATATTTTAGAAGGATTTTTTGTTTTCAGTCGCCATTTAGGCTAAAGACGATAAACAGTTAATACTGACGTGACTCATGCTTTATACCAGCTGTTTATTTCAATCCATCACCATTTACAAATACTATTTCAATTCACCTTCGTGGTAAGTTCGGCGGAACATTTTGACCATGAGCTTGACAGTTTTAAAATATATTTAGAGGTGAACTAAATTTATTCCAACTAGGAAATTTTTAAATACTTAAAAAATCAAATGCGTGTACCCCGATTCGACAAAGGAAGCCATTCCCGCGGCCCGCTTGAGTACATTTTCGGGGGAGGTTTTTGGAAGAGCGTTGCACGTACATGGTCTGTTGGAAAATAATACATTCATGGTCTCACTATAAACATATTTTATTGCCATTTAAAATTGAACAAGGGATAAGCCACACATTATCACAACTTATCATCGCCTTCTCCTGTCATACATTCACAATTACATGATAAACATGATTACAGGCATATGAAGTATTCACATAGACACAAATAATACGTCTTTCATTGCCAAGAAGTCGACACTCAAAGAAACTCCAAAAACTGAAGTAGATAGGTGGGGATGGACATACATTTAAGGCAAGAGAGTTTGTCTGATACATTTATGGAAGGCAACGATCGTTCTGATAGATCTAACTTATTCCAACTACGAAGAGTGGACGTATTAAATTCCTGCAACACACCAACTTAAAGAAGGCTATACATGTTATTGTTGATTTATTATACTTTTTCGGGTTTGTTTTCATAATCATGATATTATTTGATTTGTGATAAGATTTATTCAAAGGGAATACACCATTTTCATCCTGTCTGAAACAGTGCTCTACAAAACAAAAAAATACTAAATAAATTCCATAAATTCCGATGAAATATAAAACCATTAATTCGTACCAGTCCGGTACAGGCGCGTACGTAAGTGTCATTGACCAGTCCGTGCACTGCGTAACTCGGAGTGACCGCGCGCTCGGACACGCATTTTAATGAATAAACATATGTAAGGAAACATGTAAATGGTCAATTACTTACTCGGAATGTACTTCGGCCAGTGGTCATCAGGAATTCAAATCTACCTGTTTTAATCCTTGGGATTAACCATATACACGGCTTTGTCGCACTTACACACAATACTGTACATCATACGCAAGCTAATCTTGTTTCATGATTCGCAGCGCGTGGCACAGAATAAACCAATATTTAATTCCTTTTTGTTTATTGTTTATTTAACTCCACTCGGATTTTGGCCGAAAGGTATAGGAAATATGACTTTGATTGGTATCAAAATAGATTAGTGGAAAATGTCATGGTGCTCTAGGTTCTTCAAATAGACTTCAGCATTTCGCCCGGTATTGGCTATGGGGCGGCCGTTTTAGGATGAAATAACAAAGTTCAAAAAGTTGTTTGCACTGAAGTACATTTAATCTGGAGGTTAACATCCAGAATTGCCCCCATTCGATGTTATCATTGACTATTTCAAAAATGAAACCCACTTGTTACCATTTTGAGATTTTTTTGATCATGGTACAAGATACATAATATCTGAAGATTTATCGATCATAACATTGTTTTTTCCATTAGGAGCTTTTTTTGATCTAATAACAAAAAAATGTGAGGTTTTTGTCGTTGTTTATTATTTGTTATATGTACTCGAGTACAAACGATTTTCGCTTAAGTGTATTTTTGTTCTCAAGTAATTTAATCAATATTTCGTAAAATGCACTTCTATTTTGGATTGAGCATGAAAAACGATTTTATGTATTGGTCACCACAGGGACATAATGTATAACAATATAAACGCACGTAATTAGTCACCTACTCATGGAACGTGTAAGTACATAAAAGCACGTGACTATGCCATAATAGAAAGTTCTATGACGTAACACTGCATAATACAGGTAGAGCTGAAGTGGAAGGTACAGTATTACCAACCATTTTCGATTGTTACAGTCGTCTGTCTGTCCGGTATTCCGAAAACACTATATTCCGAATGCCTTATTATCCGGAAGCTCTACAGAAATGAACTCATTTCCAGTCAAAGGTTCTTTTTGTTTATTCAGTTCTGCAGTTTTAAGGAACCGATGCAATTCATTCCGTAGAACAGCTTAAAATTTGACATTTGACATTTATGTTTTGTCAAATTAAGTTTATTGCAAGTCCTTTTAAGACATTTCTAGACTTCTTTGATGAAAAAAATATTAAAGTATATCAAGTTCTGCAGTCTTTACTGACATCAAAGGCTCCTTTATAGTTAGTTGTGTGTCATTATACAATTAGTTGACCTCTTGTTTCACTTAAGGACGGTAACGTGACAAAGCGCGAGTAAAATAATCTCTTATCGAACTGATTATTGACAAGAAGAGGATATTTTACGTGTTTTATTTACCTGAAGGAAGCAGGTGTGCTAGTTCTCGAGTTAGGCAGAATAAAACTTCAGTAAGCAGGCGGGGTTGCTCAACAACTTTCACTCAATGAGGTGGGTGGGTTGTGTAACCGCTGAGATTATCCTTCATTAGGAACGATTTAGCGCGACTCTATATACGGTTTAAAAAATATAGCCCAATTTTTTTGTACGGCCTTTATTCCCGTATAAATATGTCATTCACAACAAACGTGCCTCTGGTATACATAAATTGTATACAAACCATATTGAAAGTTTGACAAGAGTCCAGCTGTCTGTTACAACCGGGAGTGTGTATCTGTAAGGGCACTTTAATTTACGCTCGATAACACACATTTCTATTGGTGTGTTCAGCGAGGCGTGGAGAAAAATCAGGTTGCCTGTACGTATTGCCTATGTACCTATTATAGTCAGAAATGAGGCCAGTTATGCTGTACAAGCGGACAGGAATGCTGTGTCGAGTCTGTGTCGGTTTTGTGTACCGGTCCGGCGTTGACTACCAGAGAAAGTGACTACACACCTGTTAGCATTATGGACCTTAATTATAATTTGAACGCGAACCTGAACAATTCTGCTGGCTATAATATGATGCCGTCTCAACAAAATGCCGCTGGTACCTCCATGTGGATCGGGAGTTACCCGTCTCAGCAGCAGTTGCAGCAGTTGCCTGGGCAGATGGCGACTATGAATATTGCGGACACAGGAACTAACTATCTCGATACTTACATGGCTTTGTCACAGCAAAATGGACTGGGTGTGCCCGTTAACGCACCCAACAAGGATTTTTACGTGACCTCCGTGCAACCCGCGCCGTCGGGTGGTTTTAATACTACCGTCACGAACAGTAATAATTTCCAAGCGGCTTCCAGGCTAACCAACCAACCTTTGTCACCAACGTTAGATTTTGAAATGGCACAGGTTCAAATGATGACTACAGAACAACAAATCGCACTTCTGACTGAGTTACAGCGTAAAAACATGGCAGCTGGGCTAATTCAGCCACAGTTACCCCCACCGCCGTATCCAAGCAACCAGCAGCCACCACAGCAATACGTGGTGGCAAGCAACATCAGCAGCTCAGCTCCGCTGTCGCCCTCCTCCACGAGTTCCGGGTCGGCTCCTCAGACTCCAACGTCGGAGAGATATGGAACTTCTCTGTCTTTCAAAACCAGCTCTCCCGAGAGCACCGGAAGTAACCTACATCAGCAATCTTTTACGATTTCTGAAACAAGTAGTACAACTTCATCAACGTCAGTGCCTGGATCACCAACATGTGGTACGTCATCTGTAAATGATGACGTCATTGATTCCCCACGATACATGAGATTGCCGTCAACTCCCGACAGTCCAGCAAAAACTACACATGCTCCTATCAGATCTAAATCGCTTAAATTCGATGTGAAATTTCCACAGGACAAGTGTCACAAATGTTTAAAGAAGGTTTATAAGGTGGAGAGAGTGGGCCCCCTTAAGGGGGCTGTATATCACAACACATGTTTCACGTGCAAGACATGCAAAACGAAACTAACATTGAAAAATTATCATTTAAATCAAAAAGACAAATATGACGTTTCTGTTTATTGCAAATCACATCAACCGACTATAGCGGACAGGGGAGGTCATCTTGACACCAACTCCATCCTCATCAAAGGGGCTATGAGTGTTCCGAAACTTGATATGGTCAATGAGCAAATCAAGGGCAACAGCAATAGCAAGTATCACATGGACGCGCATTCGCTTGACATTTCTCACGCGCGGAACGTACCCGCCACGGACTTACAGACAGGAAATAAAATTAAAGCTAAGGCGTGGAAGAAAAAGGACAGGGCTTTGGACTCCGTTCCCCCACGGGACGTTATACGTCATAGTGATCTAGTGCCGGAGTATGACTTGGAACAATACGAACATGTGCTTGTGGAACAACAGCCGGACTATCATGGTGCGCGCTAACTATAGGGTGAATGTGTGGTAAATGTGCTTTATACGGCTATCGAATCTGTAAAGGATATATCTACCCCAGTGTAGGGAACAACGCTTTCAGGTAACCAATCAAATATCGTTAACAATAATGGTCTTTTTACGTGGTACGTCTATTGTACCATAATGTGTTTAGCAGCGCCTCGTATCGGGTATATTTTCTACATATATGTATAAACATATATATATATATATATATATATATGCCCCTTTACTTACATATCACAACTTAAATGTGACATGGGTTTAGACTATTGTGTTATTTATTCATAATACTCACTCTTTCAATTTTGAAACACGCTGGTGGTCTAGTTGCAAACAACGTTTCGGACGCGTGGTACGAATCCGGAAGTGGAGTGGTACGGGTTAGGTTACCAGCAGTGACGTACAGTAACAAAGACGTAAATATAAGTATACCCTATTTATATGAATCAAATTAACTCATCACTTTTCAATCAAATGGGATACCGGTTCATCGTGCATTGTATAAAAATTAAGTTTATGTTCATATAAAAATACTCAAATATTCCGGTAGTTCATCAGTAATTTTTTTTATATTCGTTTTGTACAATATACCTCTCATACCCAATGACATACTAACTATGGAATCTAAACGTGTACACTGTCATACCGTGTCAACTAAGGTAGACTGCTGGAGAAAAAAGGACGTGGGCATTGAGTTCTTAAGCATACAAGGTTACAAACTAATGTGTCCGGACTATCCAGGTTTCGGTGTTCATGAAACTAAAAAACTGGTGTGTTGGTGATATCTAGATGTTTGTGTTCATACAATCAAGTGTGTCGAGAATTTCTAGATTTTTGTGTTCATATAATCAAGTGTGTTGGTAATATCTAAATTTCTATGTTCATATACACCCTAATAAGTCCGGACTATTCAGGTTTTGTGTTCATACAAACAAGCATTTCTACAAACTTATGAGTACGGACTTTCCAGGTTTCAGTATCCAAACCGTACAACTATATATATACAGTGTGTAGGGAATTCTAGATTGCTGTGCTATTCAAGATTCTGCGTAAATTAAAAAAAGAGCGCCAAGACTATCCAGCTTTTGATGTACGATTAAACGAGAGTCCGGACTATACGGGTTAACGTGTATAATTAAACAAGAGAGTCCGAACTATACAGGTAACAGTGTACATTCAAACTAGTGTATTGGGAATATCTAGATTTCTGTGTTCAATACACTGTAATAAATCCGGACTATCCTGGTTTCTGTGTTTATATATACAATCTAATGTGTTCAGACTACCCAGGACACAAGTGTATTATTCCGTATTTAAATAATGTGCAATTCACGACATTAGAAATAATTGTATGTTCACATGGTATGATACTCAACTTTCTGATGATGCAATATGCAGCACTTTATTAAAAAAAAACATGAAAGAGTTCTTTAAAGTTTTGTCTCGTCTTTCCTGCATACAATTAAACACTCGACGCGGCGTTATATTTCCAGCAAATTCCTATACTGTGTATATATGTATCGTATTGGAATAGCTACTGTATATGATGCAGCACTTCACACCTAAGCATATAAAATACTGTAGGAGAGTTCTTTTTATAATATAATACAGGGTTATTATAATACCAGATATTTTGGAAAAGGACCCTGTCTTAAAAAATGGAGAAAATCGACTCTTTTGATATAGATTTTGAAATTAGTAACAAAATTTTCTTGTAATTTGGAAAAACAAAAGTGTTTGTCTTACCCAGACACAGTATGTCTTTATCAATGGTGTAATAAACTATTGACTGCCAACACGAACTTGAGTTCTAAATATTCGGATTTTTTCGAAGTTTATGAACAACATTTAACGCATTGGGAACACACAGAACCAGTTTTCAATTTGGACAGGGTGCTGTCAAGAGCTCTACTCGGTAAAACACCTGGCAAAATCCCTGAAACTATAAACTGCCCAGTGGTCATTATAACCTTCGTCGGTGTTTATTTTACTGAGCGTCACTGCAAGATGTCTATTAGACCCCCTTTGTAAATATATAGTGAACGTTTAACACTATTTAGTTAGTTTACTGTAAGACTGACACCTGTATGTATGACCAGTCAACCTGCGTTACCTGTAATTAGCGAGGTATTTTCTTTGTGTCGTGTTGAAGAAGAATGCTGAGAATGTTGAAAGGTTGTTTGTACATATCTAATGACAACACAGTAGAAATATTATACAGAATCGCTTCACTGCACACAGAAAACACTGGCCCTGGGGTATGGGATGTATCGCCCTATACAACATCACCAACAAACTGGCGATCTTTCATCTTGTTGGTCTGCTCTAAATTCATAAATTACTCGCTAGTTCAAAGTACACCTTGCACCATAACGTACTCACCAATTATGAATTATGGACTTAAGTTGAGATGAATTAAAAGAATATGTGTTTATATGAACGAGATAAAGTAATATTAACCGGGACGAAGTCGAGGTTAATATCGGTTATTCAGGTCCATTCGTCTCGGTCAATATCACTTTCTCAAGTTCACATAACCACATATTCACCGAGATAAAAGTCCTTAATTGTTCTATTTGATGCTAAATAACGTTTTATCACATACCTGTTGAATCTTGTTATAGTATTACAAGAAATTTTCAGATCACGAAATACAGCGTTCTGTACTGCACATGTGCAATACGGAATGTTGTATTTACAAAATGTACCTACTAGCCGGAACTACTTTTTATGGGAATCTCCTTGTCATGGCGAACTGAAAAGTTCCCGGTATTTGCAAAAAATATCAAAGTTTATGAAATCTTTGTATCGATCTCTACCAAGTACGGAAGGTATGTGATAAAAGCAAGACCACACACTTGTGTTGTTCTAACGAATCAGAAAGCACTCATTTATTGCGCGGACGTATATATTCACTCGTGCGTTCCGCGCACTCGGGACTATATATTCGTCCCCGCAATAAACTCGTGCTTTCTGATTTGTTAGAAAAACACAAGTGTGTGGTCTTGCATACCATATTTGTTTGCGTATGAACCCATGTAATATGACCTATCAGCCCTGTGATTGGTTGTAACTTTCAATTGTTTCAATTGTGACGTCACGCCTAGGACAAGTACATGACGTCACAGACTTACGCACTGGAGTCAAAATGACGGCTTTTTACATTTCAAGGTTGCAGGAAAATTTTAGTTTTCCACGAATAAATGCCACAAATCTTGATTATGTGATAAAAACGATCTTACACTCGTTTTTATTTCATATGAAATTTATGAAACTCGTCACGAATGTTTCATTTTAGCTCGCCTATTGAAAAATTCTGAAGACTCGTTTCATAAATCTCATATGAAATGGCAACTCATGTAAGATCCTATATTGAAGCATTAAACAAAATGGGACGTATGGAAACTGTACGGAGGAAAATAAGTTGCACTTGGCAGAGGTCATGGTGGCGTTACAATTGAAATGACATTATCCACCTTTCTAAGAAAAGTAAACCCAGTCAATATCACGTATCACCGAAACCACGTGATTTTGATCCAACCAATGGGTATGTAGGAGCAGGAAAAAAAGTGTGTTATCTAATTTTACATCTTGTACCATAATATACTACAGACCTGGACCGCTTTCGATGTCGAAAATGAGTTGCGTTTATATTGGGTTTGAAACGGACAATTCATACATTCAGGGATAAATATCTATTAAGTCTTAAATTCTGGCTATTGGTCAGTCTTATGTTCCAAAATTAGACTATTATAATGGTGTATGACGCAGTGGTGTGTTGAATGTGAACATAATTAATTTTTACTGACTAGTTATTCAAGACAATAAGAGTTTAGTATGACGGTGGTGACGTAACTGAAGAGTTGACCTGGTCAGGCAACCATTTACCTGGCGGAGACATCACCTGGTCAGGTATACTATTTACCTTTCGTTGGAGATGTCATACACTCCTTAGCCTCCAGTCTTACACGTCCTAAATTCACTTAGCGTCGCTTCTCTAGAACCATCCCTTGGCCGGAGGCGGTACGCTGGTCAATTTGTTTATTGTTGCTTCTCAAATATGTATCTTTGTCCAGATGCCAGGTGTGGACGATTTACCTGTCTATGATACTGCCTACCTGCCAGCTCACCTAGTGTGTACCTGTCATAGAGGCATTGTTTTTGTCACCACACTTTTACAATTTTACCATGCTTATTTGTAATAGTTAAGATTTTGATAAATGGTACAGCTCGACAAGAAAAAACTGAAGTAATCTATTAAAGTAACGTTTAATAAGGTCCCTTTTCAAGAACAAGGAAACACATATAAACTATTGCAAGACACAAGAATTATTGGTCGTATGCCATGCAATATGTGCTCTGAAAAGCTATTCTTACGACAAAAGCAGTTAAAATATCACAGTAGTTACAATTATAAACAAAATATGAAATAAGAAAAGGAACAACACATCAAACTGAAACTAAAAGATATATACATGGCTAGAAACATTGCACAAAAAATATTTATTTTTTACCTCTTTGTCGTTATCAACAGGAACATATGTTCATGTCATCCCCAAGAAATTAGGATATTATCACCACAAATTAAAAAGACAGACCCCCCCCCCCCCCAAAAAAAAACCCCCACCCCGACATCAAGAGAATGCCGAAGTGTGAACAACACAAACCCTTGCAAAATTACAAGGAGATAAGACCAGGTGTTCCGGAAGTGTAAGCGTATACCGCTTCATCGACGATATCGGCCATGTAAATCTAGGTCAAATTGAAGTAATGTCACGTCCTCATACCGAAAACTGTGGCAGTGACATCAAAACCACAAGGAAGATTTTATAATGAACATATCTAAAACATCAACCTTCATATAACACAAAGAACTGGAATAGCTTCCATAGAAGAACATGATGGCGACCATGCATCGTCCATAGTCTTCATCAACACAAATCTTTGAAAACCCAGTGTAGTAAGTTTTTCTCTCAGCAGTCGACATCTATCATGGAAGTTATATTGAGTACCTAATCAACAGCGACATGTACACACCGGATGTAGGGGAAGCATGATGTTACTACCAGTAAAGGGAGAGTTCACGATAGGAACATCCAAGTTGTCCTGCATATCGTATAGCTTAGAAGTAAGCCGTCCCTGTTGGCCATGTCGTGGGTGAAAATCGACTGAAATAGAAGAGGTTGTAGTGTCCCTGATTTTAAGCTCAGGAGGGTATATACCATCGACGGGGTCAAGTAATTTCTTGTTATTTAAAGACAGCACATCGTCGATATATCTGATCGTGAAATTGAAGGACTTGGTGAGGTTTTCGTAACCAGTACTGTAATACAAGTCGGCCAGAAGAGGGGCACAGTTTGTTCCCATAAGAATTCCTCCAGTCTGCTACAAATTCTTGCCACCGAAGCCATTAAAGATATTGTCAGCCATGATGTTATATCAGTTCGACATTATGTAATTTTAATATAAACTAATTTTATTTTACAACAGTAATAAAACAAGTTTTCCAACTTTATTCCGAACTCTTGCCGGCCCGACTGGAAACGCGTAGAGGATCGTATTGAGATGGGAAACCGGGGAAAGCCCATGTGGTTGGGCAGATGACCTAATACGTTATCGCGTCTGATCGGGGAATCGAACCACGACCGTCTTGGTTTGCTATCCATAGCGCCACCCGACCAACCACTGTTTGAGTTATCAATACAATTCAATGTTTCAGAACTAATCACTGGAGTATGAAAGATGTTATAAGCAGAATATTTAGGATGATAGTACACGTACAAGATTGTCTGCTTGCATTGGTTTGCTCCTTTTCAGTGACCGATAGAGTGTAATGTTAATATTTCTGGGTTATGGCATTTCAAGGATGGCATTTCAATGGTCTTCAGCTTTCGTCAAATGATATAAACCGTTGCTAAATAAATAAATCAATCAATAAATCAATCAATCAATCAATCAATCAATCAATCAATCAATCAATCAATCGATCAATATATCTATCTATCAATCAATTAATCAATTAATCAATAAATCAACGAGAATTAAAATCAATCATTTCAAATCAATAACAAACATTCCGCGACAGTGCGCCTATCTATTTATCCCATGAAGTTTAATTATTTCAGTGAATCACTAAATAAAATAGGTTTTAAATATTTTTTTAACGAAAACAAACCACTTTAAATGTGTTCACTGGTATTTACAGGAGTTTAAAGATTGATTTCTCGGAGATTCATATGTACACAGAAAATACATCCGTCAGCGTTCTTTTAGGATCTGTTTATTTGAATATATTTTGACAAGGGTTTACCCATGTATACACAAGTACGTTCTGCATTTATACCACACACACGATCATACGTTTCCTAAATTATGTTTAAATATTTTCACAAACGTTCAACACGGCGAACTGGTTTTGTGACAACA